GTGAGTACAACACCTATTTTATTTCTTATTAAACATTTTTTATGGTAATGCACTAGGCCTGTGCGCCCTCTCTTTGTTCTTTTGTCATCAGTGGTGTGTCCCAGGGTTCAGTGTTGGGACCTTTACTTTTTAATATATTTATAAACGATATAAGGTCTGTGATTAAAAGTACAATTTCAGTCTTTGCAGATGACACAGAGGTATGCAGTGGTATAACATCCTTATAGGATGTCTCCAGTTTACAAGCTGACCTCAATGCACTGTTTAATTGGGCAACTATGTGGAAATGAGGTTTAATGTTGATGAATCTGAAGTTATACATTTGTGGGGGAGTAAAACTGGGGGAATCAATGGTGGGGAAGGATCTGGGAGTTCTGGTAGATCATAGACTTAAAATTGGCATGCAATGTCAAGCTGCAGTTTCCAAAGCGAGCAAAATCCTTTCTTGTATAAAGAGAGGTGTGGACTCCAGAGAAAGAGAGATATAATTTATCCCCTGTACAAATCATTAGTAAGATCTCTTCTGGAAAATGCAGTTCAGTTTTGGACACCAATTCACAAAACAGATATCCAGGAACTGGAAAAAGTGCAGAGAAGGGCAATCAAACTGATAAGAGGCATGGAGGAGCTCAGTTATGAGGAAAGATTAGCTGAACTAAATTTATCTTCTCTTGAGAAGAGGAGATTAATGGGGGATATGATCAACATGTATAAATGCATCTGTGTTTCCTATAGTGAATTTGGTTGCGTTGTTCACTTTAATGTCATCACAGAGGACAAGGGGGCACTATTTACATCTGAAGGAAAAGAGATGTAATCTCCAAACACGGAAAGGTTTCTTCACAGTAAAATCTGTGAAAATGTGGAATAGACTCCCTCAAGAGCTGTTTCTGGCCAGCTCATTAGATTGCTTTAAAAAAGGCCTGGGTTCTTTCGTAAATATACATACCGTGTTTCCCCAAAAATAAGCCACTGTCTTTTTTTTTTGGCTCAAAAAAACACACTAGGTCTTTTTTCAGGGTAGGTCTCATTTTTTAAATGTCCAGGTGTGGACAGGGGTGCAGAGGTGAGCTGCAGGCAGTTGTGGATGAGGGTTACTATGGAGAGGGCCAGTTGATGACAGTTGTGAGCTGCAGTCAGGTGTTGCAGGTGTGACTTGACAGGTGAGTTTCAGACAGGGTGCAGATATGAGCCACAGACAGGGTGAAGGGGTCAGTTGCAGACAGGGAATGCAGAGGTGAGCTGTGGCTAGGGGGTACAGAGCTGAGCTGTGGCCAGGGGGGTGCAGAGTTGAGCTGTGGCCAGGGGGGTGCAGAGTTGAGCTGCGGCCAGGGGGTGCAGGGCTGAGTTGTGGCTGGAGGGTGCAAAGGTGGGTTGCAACTCAGCTCACCTCTGCCCCCCCCCCCCCCAGCCGCAGCTCACCTATGCACCCTGTCTGCAACTCACCTGACTCAATTTACCTCTGCAACATCTAACTGCAGCTCACCTTTGCACATCCCCCCTCCCTCCACTGCCCTCATATGGTTAGCTAGTTTTGCAAAACACATCTGTCAGCAGCCAACCCCTCTCTATAGTAACTCCCATTTCGGTTCCTATCTTCCCACACAGTGCACCAAGGGCACTTACTCTCCGCTCCGCCTCTTACCCACTGGCCGGTGATCACCCCTGGGGCATCGGCTTCCATGCATTAGGCTGCAGGAGGAGATGCCCTGTCCCTAAACACACTGCATACTGCACCCACAGATATCTGTTCCTTCCCTGTCCCACAGTGAGTACAGAGATAGGGAGATTCTGTGGGAGCGGATGGTGCTGTCACTCCAGCCACGCTTCTTTGTTTTTAAGAGACAGTAGATATGGGTGTACGCAGGGCCAGTGCCAGAGGTGGCGGAATGGCGTTCCGCCATGTTCCAGCTGAAAAAAAGCCCTGATCACAGCTAGGTCTTATTTTCGGAGTAGGTCTTATACTTTAGCAATTCCCAAAAATAGCACTAGGTCTTATTTTCGGGGTAGTTCTTATTTTAGGGGAAACAGGTAATAAGACTGGATACTAAAACGTATTGGTAAAGTTGATCCAGTTACCTCTTAGGGGTTCAGGAAGGAATGTTTTCCCCTGCTGGATCAAATTGGATCATGCTTTGCTGGGTTTTTTGCCTTCCTCTGGATCAACTGTGGGTATAGAATTGTGCATATAGGATTGTTTTTTTATTTTCATTTTTATTGGTTGACATGGATGTCTTTTTTCAACCCAGACTAACTATGTAACATGCAGTTTGGCTTTCTAGCTATGGGGATACCAAACCATATGCTGATCTCTCTTAGGATGTGGCTCTAACACAACCTGCGTAATATATGTAGATACTTATTATAGATCTGAGATCACAGCAAAGCCTCTGAATTTAGTTCAGGCCAGACCAGCATTTACTTCCTGGACTGAGATGTTTGCTCAGAGATAACAGAATCATGCAAATACTTTTGCTTGTGAGTTCTTTGCTGTTTGCACAAATGTCTGACACAGATCTGACACAGAACCCCCTGTTTCGGCCCCTCACCTTCTGACTGGCTACAAAGTTACAATATTTTAGTCTGATCCCAGGGGGAGTGTAGATCATGAAAATGTTTCTTCCAGCCTGTAGCAGACTGAGGACATCATCCCAGCCTAAGTTGCATGCCTGGAGCTCAATTTTTGTTTTTAACGATAAAATATACATTATTTTGAAGGAACTATTTATATAGAGAGCAATGATCTTGATCTGATAAAAAAATGATCAGAAATGGTCCTATATTATCAAATGATAATGATTCTTAATTCAAGCATCATTTAAGGAAAAGAGAGAAGCGAAGAATGCCTCTGGTTATTTCAGGAAGTGGTCAGAAGTGAGTGGTTGGTTGTGTTCCCAAAGCCATTCATTAACTCCCAAATACCTGGTGTAAGAAATATATATTGAGATGTGTGGTTTATACGTTGTACAAGCAGTCTGCAAATTGTCAGCTTCTATTTTCTCTGCATCAAATTAAATTGAATAGGACTGCAGCATTTGCTTACATTTGACACTGTAAATTAAATCATTCATCTTCTCCCTCACTCAGGTTCTTCTGCCTGGTAAAGAATCTTATGTGAATGTCACTTTTGGCAACACATGATTTTCACAAGAGCAAGGTATGTTTCTGCATCCAGGGCCCACTTGTGCAGACCTAAAATTGTAAATGAACGTTACACCTAATGTCAACTGTTAAATTATATCCAAAATTTATTGCACAAAACTATGTGAAAATCATTTTGTTACTAATGCTTACAAAAAATATTCCCTCTCCCACTCAGTTATATAACTAACATTAACCAGAACATCACATATATCTACAACAATAATAGTGACCTGTCACAATCAGTATAATTTAGTGACCATGAAGAGATATACGATTCTTTCACTTGTTTCTCAAACTCATATTTTGCTTCTTCAGGAGAACAGAAATGGTAGGATATGTAGTATACAAATAATTTAAAAGCCTGCATCGATGTTCCCACACCTCCGTCAGTCACAAACACACAAATGGGGTACCCAAAGAGACATGTCAGTCAACCAGAATCCCAGTCTCAATGGAGAGACTCATATTTCAAATGTTACAGTGGCACTAGATTATTTGGAAGTGAGAAGGAATATTCTTCTCCAGGGTCTGTCCAATCAAAATGGTCCCCATTTCTTTGGACAACACTGTAGGAGTGAAGGAGTTTAGGAGATGACTCCTGTAGTGCTGTCCAAAGAGAATGGGACCATTTGACTGGCCAGATCCTAGAGGAGAATACTCCTTCCCCCTTCCAAATAATCAGGGCACTTTAGTATTCAATATATGAGTTCCTCCACTGGGACTAGGATCCTGGCTGACCTATGTCCTCCGATATGTCCCTTTGGATCCCCTATTGAGTGTTTGGAAGTGACAGGGGAGTGGCAACATCTATGCAGGCATTTTAACCATTTGTATACCATGTATTTGATGCTACATATGTTGGTTGCTCACATTCCTGTCTCCTGAAGAAGTGAAATATGAGTCTGAGAAACACGTAGAAGAATTGTATTGTCTGTCCATGGTCACTTTGCTATACTGATTGTGACATATAATTAATATTGTTATAACTATGTGATGTTCTGGATAATATCAGTTATATAACTGGATATGATGAACCAGAGAGTAGCTGTGTACATATGCATGTACCTATAATGGATCTTCACCCTCCTTCCCTTTTTTTTTTTTAAACCTCTGCTTACCTGGTTGTAGGTCCTGCACACTTAAGGTACTCACCCTCCCAACGGGTACAGTGTTGTTCTGCCATGATCTGTATCTTTCCTACCCCCATCAGCCCTGCACCGCCATCTTCTTCTGTGATGTCATCAGTAAGCTGCCGGTTCTCCTGAGTTCAGCCTGCAGATTCCCGATGACACGCCATCTGCTCCCAGTCTTTATTCCTCATTGAAGGTCTACACCTCCAGGGATACGTGTGGACAAAGTGCACGTCATTCGCCTAGATGAGTGACATGCACAGGGGGTGGGCCGGAGGGTTCTAATTAAAAAAAAAAGGTAAACAAAAAAAAAAAAACCCTGATTTGCACAGCTGAAGGGAGAAGGGGTGGTGGGGAGGCAACATCCAATTGAAGGTCAAGTTCCACTTTAAGCATCAATAACAAAACAACTTTAACATAGCTTTGTGCAATAATACATTTTGGATAAATTATTAACAGTTGACATTGGGTGTGATGTACAGTATATTGGTACAAATAACCACTTCTGACTATCTCTTTTTTAAATATTTTCTGTCTCTACAATGTATTCAGCATGGTGGTTTGGCTGCATAAAAGGAAACTGCACAACTTATTCTAGACTGTCTGGTCCACCATCCTGCTCACTGTTTTCATTGTGTCATATCCCATTACATGTAAATGGCTGAAAATGTGTGGCTTGTATGATAAATTTTGCAGCCAGATTTTTTTTTGTATTAAATTACTAACCTGTGATGACTGACATATATGGCATAGGCACTGAACTTGTTTCATGTTCTGTGGAATGATTTGTAGAACCTGGTCCCTAAAAAGTAGAAAATAGTGTGAGCAGACAGATATTTATTATTCTGTTTATGCAACTGCAATTAATTTTTAAAGGATCAAAAGAGTATAACAAGTGAGCTTTAAAGCCACAGCCTAAACTGGAGACTATATGGGGACTCCTCCCCAGTTAGATACTAATAATAATGAACCATTTATTAATACATGCATGCCTTGCTCATTTAATAACTCTAACGACCTTGAGAATTTCTGCATGGTTCCTTTTCATCTCTCCCCGCATCCTAAATTCTCAGGAATAGTAATCTGCTTAAATCGATTTTTTTTCGCTTTTTCTGAAAAAAAAAAGGAGGCGTACTTAACCCTCTAAGGGGACAATTAATGTGCTTATTACAGCACTAAAGTTTAGTACTAAATCTGATGCAGATCCCACTGAGAATAGTGTTTAAGTGGTCTCTAAAAATTAGAGACTTTATAGCATTTGTAGACAGGTTCTGTAAAATATGATCATTTCTAGTCTGACTGCCTACTCCATTGAAGTGTTTCATTTTTTATTTGAATGATGTGCCACAATGAAAGCAACTGAAATGTCTACGGGTAGTTGTACAAAAGATGAAAATGAATTCATGAACCATAAAATTGGAATACACTATGAAGGTATTCATCTTGTGGGCATGACCAATATTTATAGCACAAAGCCTATCAATTCACTAAGAACCAGTACTATCTACTGTGATCCTCTATAAGAGCTTATATGGACAGGGATTTCCCCCACAGACCTCATAAACAAACAGCAACCTCCCTTATGTGATTTGTTATTATATTATATTAGGATTCTTTTGAATTTTTCAACAATATAGGAGCTAGGAATGTAGCTAGGAAATTAATATAGGTATGAAGTCATGCTCAGTGTCTGCACAGATTAATATTTTTTTTTATTATATATTATATTTTTTTCTGGTATATAAATAGTCTCTGTTTAATTGTATATGTATAAAAAGGTGCAGCGCTAAAGACAAAAAGTAAATGTATCAAGTGGAACAATCAAGTGCAACATATAAATATATATAAAACTTGCAAATATATAAAAAACAGGAAATCAGCAGGAAAATGAAGTCTGTGAGTAGATGTGTTAATAAGTGCACTAAAGTGCAATAAGATTAATCAATAATAATAATCACGGTTGCACTTATTTGATATGTGCAATAATGTAATCAAAAGTCCATCAAACAACTGTGTTCAGATAATGTCCTTATATTAATAAAGTGCAATATTACAAAGTGCAGGATGTGAACGTGAGATTAATCACAAAGGGGAATCCATCACCTCGAACGGATGTACACTCACCAGAAGGTATATGATAACAAGCATAAGGTATATCAAATCTGGATGTGAAGAGGCAGCCAGAGGGTAAATCATACTGCTTCATCAAAAGCATAGGTGGAAGGAGGAACCCTTGTCCTAGAGAAGATAGCTCAACAACAAGAGCCAGAAATTTGTATATAGTGTAGTAATTTATTAAATTCACAAAGCAGAGTATAAAAATCCACGTGGAATGATAAAGTGACAGGTACCAAAACGTCCGCCGCTCCATCGGCAGCAGCGGCGTGATGTCAGCAATGTGGCTCCACTCAATGCGTTTCATGCGCATGCACGTCCTCAAGGGTACGCCCATTGCCAACTTCATGCATGGGTTCCATTTAAATAGCCCGCAAGGCGTGAAATGAATCAGATGGGGCCATTTTCTCTGAGTGTTATCGGTCAGGTGATGTTGACGGCCATTTTACCGGAGACTGGTAGAGTGATGCCGGCGGCCATTTTCCAAGGGACAAAAACCATATGCTAATTGTTTAGGATGATGAAGTTAAACTAAGAGTAAACGGCAAGCTATCGTCAAGGTGTCTGACAGCAGCCATTCTTACGGAGATATAAGAGACATGGCTGCGATATTATAAGGAGAGGCAGCAATGCTAATGTTTCTTAGGAAAAATAGGTAAAAAAACGGGTGACTAGACGGAATGGAATAGAATATAATATAAAGTAGCGTAAAATCAAAAAAGGATAGCAAAAATGCTGCATTTGAGTATTAAAAGGACCAAATTCTGAACGGAGATATTATTAGAAAAAAATGTTTTTGGAAAAAGTGCCAATGAATATCAAACAATAAGATGCTAAAAACGAATAATCAAAATTGTCGCTAATATATCAAAAAAGTGAATGGAATATTATCATATTCGTTCGTATTGCGGACTATTAAAATGGTTAATAAAAAACATATACATAATTGCCAAATTCAAATAATGTATAGGTATAAAAATTATCAGAGCAAATGTAATACATTATAGAATACAGAAAAATAACTACAGAATAAATAATGACCAATAAATACATATATAGAGATTATGTGTAATAATGATAACAAATGATAATAGCTTGGAATACTAATGAATACCGTAAATTACCAAAACAGGTGGCCAATGGTCAGCCCAAATATCATATGATACCAAATATGCATAATATTAAATCACGTATACCAAAATAATGCAGAAAAAAAATAAAAAAAAATAAAAAATAAAAATAAAAAATTTAAAATAGAATAGAATGAATAGAAAACATCAGTCCAAAGACGCCCAAACAATAAAAGTATTTAAATCTCAAATGGATAACGTAAATTTACTTTTGTCAATAAAACAATTCATATCTATATCTACATTATGGCCATGAGGGGTTAGGGATCTCATTTCGTATATTCATCTCGTCTCTAGCTGTGAGATGGCCCTCCTTTTGTTGCAACCTCTCCAGTGTGGGTTAAGAATAACAATACCTGTGCACTTGATACCCTGAGGATCTTCATGGTGGAAATCTCTAAAGTGTTTGGATAGAGAGTGTTCTTTATATCCTTTTTTAATATTATAGAGATGCTCACGCATTCTATCTCTCATGAGCCTCGTGGTTCTGCCAATATATTGTTTGTGGCAGGAACATTCAAGGAGATAGACAACATGCCTTTTATTGCAGGAAATAAAGGAATCTATTTGATATGTGAGGTAAAGGTAGTTACTTTTGAAAGTCTTCTGCCATGGGTAGAAACCTTTGAGTTTTCCAAAGAAAGATACTCTCTGTGGAGGGTCTATAATGTTTGGGGCAATTTTGTCTCTTAATGTGGGTGCCCTTCTGAATACTACTTCAGGTTTTGGGGGAAGAAAGCCCTTAAGTACAGGATCATTTCTTAGAATGTTCCAGTGTTTATCAAAGATGTTCTTCACCTGAAAATGTTGTGTAGAGTAATTAGTGACAAAGGGACAAACCATTTGGGACTTAGATTTCTTAGACCTGCATTAAATGAACAGAACATGAAATAAAGGCCACAGTGTGGAGTCACTTTGTGTACAAAGCGGAGAGAAGAATGATCCCTGATGAAGTCACGCGACATGTGATGCAGCGCGTCAAAACGGAAGTAGGTGACATCATATCCTGTGAAGACCAGAAGTCTGCCATATTGGCACTCCTTTGATGCAATATTTAGTCTGATGGCTCTAAGATCTTTTCTAAGTGGCTTTTTATTGTATTTTAACTTTTTAATAAATTGCTGTACTATGGAAGTCCTTGTTCTATTTTTTGAGCCCTTTATCTACACTGCTCAAAAATCTGAAAACACATCAGATCTCAATAGGGAAAAATATCATGCTGGATATCTATACTGATATGGACTGGATAATGTGTTAGGAACGTAAGGATGCGCTATCATTTGATGGAAATGAAAAATAGTAAACTACAGAGGACTGAATTCAAAGACCCCCCCGAAAATCAAAGTGAAAAAATGATGCAGCAGGCTACTCCATTTTGCTGAAATTTCATTGCAGCAACTCAAAATGGTACTCACGTGCTTCTATGCATGCCTTACAATGTTGGAGCATGCTTCTAATGAGACGACGGATGGTGTCCTGGGCTATTTCCTCCCAGATCTGGACCAGGGCATCACTGAGCTCCTGGACAGTCTGAGGTGCAACCTGGCAGCGTCGGTTGGAGTGAAACATGATATTCCAAAGGTGTTCTATTGGATTTAGGTCAGGCAAGCGTGGGGGCCATTCAATGATATCAATTACTTCATTCTCCAGGAACTGCCTGCATACTGTCGTCACATGAGGCTGGGCATTGTCGTGCCCCAGGAGGAACCCAGGACCCACTAGCTTAGGGTCTGACAAAGGGTCCAAGGATTTCATTCCGATAGCTAATGGCAGTCAGGGTGCCATTGTGTAGCATGTAGAGGTCTTTGCGTCCCTCCATGGATATGCCTCCCCAGACCATCACTGACGCACCACCAAAATGGTCATGCTGAACGATGTTACAGGCAGCATAATGTTCTCCATGGCTTTTCCAGACCCTTTCACGTCTGTCACATGTGCTCAGGGTGAACCTGCTCTCAGGTGTGAAAAGCACAGGGCACCAGTGGCGGACCTACCAATTCTGGTTTTCAATGGCAAATGCCAATCGAGCTATATGGTGCCGGGCAGTGAGCACAGGGTCCACTAGAGCACGTCGGGCCCTCAGGCCAGCTTCATGAAGCCTGTTTCTGATTGTTTGGTCAGAGACATTCACACCAGTGGCTTGCTGGAGGTCATTTTGTAGGGCTCTGGCAATGCTCATCCTGCTCCTCTTTGCACAGAGGAACAGATACCGGTCCTACTGATGGGTTAAGGACCTTCTATCGCCCAGTCCAGCTTTCCTAGAGCAACTGCCTGTCTCTTGGAATCTCCTGTATGCTCTTGAGACTGTGTTGGGGGACATAGCAAACCTTCTGGCAATGGCATGTATAGATGTGCCATCCGGGAAGAGTTGGACTGCCTGTGCAACCTCTGTAGGGTCCAGGTATCGCCTCATGCTACCAGTAGTGACACTGACCCTAGCCAAATGTAAAACTATTGAAAACAGTCAGAAAAAGAGGAGTAGGGAAAAAGAATGTCAGTGACCTCCATCTGTAAAACCATTCCTGTTTTGGGGGTCATCGCATTGTTGCTCATCTAG